AATGGAATATTAAAAATATTTTGAACAAAAAAAAAATATTCTGTTTTAAAGTATTATAGTTTGGTTCATTGCGAAATGATTAGTTTTTATATCTCGTAACCATATGATCAGCCAAGGAAAATTTGATACTCAATAACAGTTCAAAATTATTATAAAACTTTATGTTGTAAGAAATATATAATATAATAAGATAAAAAAATATACAAAATATTATTTAGATTTCTGAAATATATATAACAGTAAATTATAACGTTCAACCCATTCTGAAAAAGTTGCATTATCCACAGTATTATCAGTAATATCCATTGCTTTTTCAACAGTACGATGTACCCTATAAAGATAACATAAATATGAATAGTAATTTTCCTTGAAAAGTAAAAATATTTTTCTTAATGAATTACTTACCAATCATGTAGTAATTTATTAAATTTGTCAATTTCACTTTTCGTTTTTGTATTTGCAGTTTTTGATAAATTTAATATTTCAATTACATTAGCATTATTTCCTTTATGCTGTAATACAGGCACTGGCAATACATCTAAACTTTCTTTAACTTCTGAAGGATTAAATCTTTTGTAAACAAACGTTAAAGTTAAATTTTTGTAACATTCTAGTAGAGAATATATAGGTGTTTGAATCATTGGAAAATAGCAAACAATATTTGAAGTATGAGAATTGGTAACTGAGACAGAAGCTTCAGCAAAACATCTTTTTTTATGCCTAAAAATATTGCACAATATAAACAAATTTTATATTAAATATATCAAGTAAAATAACTAAAATAATCAATCTCAAGAATCAAACCTATAAGTTCCAATATCGCCTTTCAATGTAACTTTTCTCAAAGCATTGAGATCTAAAGTGTTATAGAATGTATTTAATTCGGTCCCAGAAGAATTTTTCAACCATGCAGAATCATAAGCACTGTTTCGAAGTTCTAATATTTGTTGTAATACTAAATTTATTTCATCCTTTGTTTTCATAATATGTGTTGGTAATGACTTAAAATGAATAAATGATTGCTGTATACATTCTGTATATTTTACCTAAAATTGGTTCATAATTAATGTTAAATGTAATTAATAATGTATGATTTTTTTTTTAATATTAACATACTATTTCCTTATCAATATTTTGTATTTCTGAAGTCAGTTCAGCTAAATTAAATGCAAATGTAGCATTTTCATTTAAATCTTCTCGAATCTCGCTAATTTCCTTTACTAAATATTTTTCTTCAGTTTCTAATTTACAGATTTCTAATATTAGTGCCAACCATGTGATGACATCTTCAGAATCGTTTGTAGCTTTCTGAAATAGCGTTTATTTTACATTTGAAATAATATGTAATAGACAAATATAAGATGACTCCTTAACTCTGATTCCACATAAATAAGAACACATCAGCACAACAACAATATCATTGAAGTCGAGACCCCTTATACTTGCTGAGTCACTGGTTACACTTATTTTCACACATGTAAATTAAAGTTCAAGAGATAAACTTGACTAAACTCACCTCAATTTTCTCTGTAAATTCAAGAATACTTTCCTGGTGGTTCCTTGTTTTTGCCTGATACCACAATTTCTTTGCAACCATGGAAATCTGTTCACCATATATTTTGGCAATATCAAGATTAATATCTTTTATATGTGTGTTCAAAGGTTTCGCAGTTTCTGATTTGATTAATGTTTTGAGTAATGTGTCCAAATGTTGAGTTAAATTTTGATACAAATGACGCCATAACGTAGGTACTTCAATATTATTAAGATTACTTTTTATTGCATCCAATACCTAAAAGAATAGTACAAATAATACACCTCTACTGTATTCTATATACATTTATTTAAACACCTACTTCTCTTTTATTTGCTCCAGCCCGAAGATTTATCAATGTATTTGATGTTTCTATTAACAATTTAGTATCTAACTCTTTGCTAGTACCTGGCATTAAACGTTGACAAATTACTCTCATCTTCTTGCAGTCTTGAACCTGTGTAGCAGTTTGATCATATTTCATATTAAGCAAATTTTTCTTTACCTTCATTTGTGAACGCATGGATTTTATATCTTGTAATTTTTGTACTGAAAAAATAATATATTACATATATATTTTTTTATGTGCTTCAACATTAAACATACCTTTTTGTCTAAGTGCAAAATCTACTTGTTCATAATCCTTTTCTAATTTAGATATTCGATTTTTCATATCTTTTCTGGCTGATTTCAGCTGTTGCATGTTTTGCATACATTGCACAATTTTGTTAGGTGTTTCTGTTCTTAATTGGTATAATAATACATTTTTCCTTACTGTTTTTACTTCATCAGCAGTAAATATTACATTACCTAATTCTTCCCATAAAAATGCACCCATACCTGCGCATAATCTGCCAAAAAATTTAGTTATAAATATATGTGTCATCATGATATTAGTTATGCTATTTCTATAAAGTATACAATTGTAAGGTTCAATTTTCTTAAATTATATTTCTGAATAACATCAAAAAATTTATACAAACACTTTTTTCACAGAATCGTTGCATATTGATGGTGGACATCCCAGTTTATGAGCCCATGCAAAGTGATTTGTAGACTTTTCCATAATTCTAATTTCTATATTGTATCAATAATAGAAGAAAAGGGAATCTAATTCTGAATACCTAACAATATTAAAAAGAAAATATTTGAAATAGAATCTCAGAAAATCAGTTAAATTTATTTATATAATAAAGCTTTATTACAAAATATCATACAATTACCAAAAATGATCATTAGTAATTAAGAAGTTCATGTGATTTTCATTAAAATAAAAAAAATGTATATAAAATATACGTATAAAGAAATTTATTAAACTTCAATAAACACATTCGAATACAAACAGAAAACAAATGTTTAGTGAATATTTTTAAATGCATATAGTAAATAAAAAGGAATAATAAAATGCAACTTACCTTTTACGGTCAAGTGCTGGCGACCTGGTACTCTCATCTGAATGATCAGATTCGGTACATTAATCGTAATTTTTCATTATTTTAAACTGTCAGAAATTCAAACACATTAATATGATTAATCAACGTCGCGCGCACGCGTGTTAATGGGTATATATGTGCTGTAATCTACATCATAAAATATTATAACATAGATAAGAGTATTATGTTTCATTACAGAAAAGGTCCTGGTAGAATTGGATTGGTAGAATTTTTCCACTAGAAAGAGTAGGTTAACGATTTAAAGAAAAGGTGTAAAATTTAATATAAAATGATCTTTGCAGAATTAGTTATCTTTAAATTTCGGTTCTACTTTAATTGAAATTTTCTTTAAAATGATTGTCAACGATATTATTTGAAAACGCATGCGTTGTAAAAATTAATTTTGAGAAATTCTTTTCTCAGAGTTGGTTCTAAAGAGTATTCAATGTTGATGGATTATTACTAAAATCAAAATGGGTTCTACTGTGGTCGCTTCTGCGACTGTTCGTGCTGTCAAAAGCAGAAAAATACTTTCTACAAGGGCAGCGCTTACTTTAGTGAGTGGATAATAGCATCTGGCAATTTAGGTTGTTGTACATGTATATTTTTATGTTTAACCTTTGTTAATAATATCATTATTGCGAATGAAACTTATAGATTTTGACATTGAGGTTAACGTTACGTTTGTTTTTAATATTATTAGCTCCTTTAAATTTAATATATATTTTTTCTATGCTTCGAGAGTTTGCAGTAATTATTTAGAATTTTAATGATAACTACCATTCTTGTAATTGTTTTTCATTTTTAATCAACTATATATTATTTCAAAGGTCTTATACATGCTATAAATCTAACAATACAGTTTTTCTTCTTTATAATTGCTTAAATGATAATTATAACATGTGTTAGTCTGTTGTGTCACATGTGTTTAATCATAATGTGACTCTGTTGTAAATATATTATTATAGGTTACATACATGAAAGATTAAAACATCTATAAATTATATAATTTGTTATATTTATATTCTATATTTAGTAATTCTCTTTGTTACAGACATCAAATGCAGTAAAAAAAATTAAGGAGTTGTTAGAAAACAAATCTGACTATGTAAGTAATATAATATATACCTTATTTATGTATATGACAATAAAAAGCATGGTTTAAGAGTTTATGTATCAATATTTTCTAATCTGAAGAAAATGCTCCTAATAAACTAATAGTTTTTACAAATTTTAGACAAAATGTATATACTTTTCCTAATTAATACAATTATAGTACAATTGCATAAAAACAATATTCTACTTTTCAGATAGGTTTAAAAGTTGGTGTGAAGCAGCGAGGATGTAATGGCCTGAGTTATACTCTTGATTATGCCAAAGAAAAATCTAAGCTTGATGAAGAAGTTGTTCAAGATGGCGTAAGAATTATAATTGACAAAAAGGCACAATTATCTTTACTGGGAACTGAAATGGACTATGTAGAATCTAAATTAAGTTCTGAATTTGTTTTTAACAATCCAAATATAAAAGGAACATGTGGATGTGGAGAAAGCTTTTCTGTTTAATTAGTTAGAATATTTATGAAAATTGTAGTCATAATAGACAAATATAAGTTGACTGTAACTTAAAAATGTGTAAATTAGTTTTGACTCAATTATTTTATTAAAAATCTGATAGTAAGATTTCTCATTTTTATTTGAAAATAATTATGATTTAATAAAGTAAAATAACAGGTAAATAAAATATATAATATAGTTGACTTCTCAAATACATGTTATTGTATATATTTATTTTATAAGTAAATATATTGTACATAATTATAAACACACAACATGATAGTTTATAAATAAAGAGATTTATTTCATATAGAGAAAAAACATGCACCTTTATACCACTTATTCTCTTTAGCTTTTGTTTTATGTATAAATATGGTAATCGTGTACATATAAAAGTGTACTTAATCCATTTATATGATTGGGTTTTACTTAAATATATGCTACGTGACATATTGATAAACATTGTCAGATAAACACTACCATCTTCGCGAATGAACACTCGGAGACATCCACTTTACGCGAATCAAACTAAAACAAATATTTTATTAATTATCAAGTTTAGGACATACGAAGGTCAACAATTTTATACTCAGAATTTGATAATTTATCGATCTACAGTAAAAAAATAGGTCATTCCATTTAAAAAAATCAAGGTGACCTTGAAATCTCTAAAAAAAAAAATGACAGAAAAACAGAAATCTTTTTCGTGTCATGCGAGTCCCACTAAACCATTCAACTTTGTCCTTAAGAGATTTGACGTATCTTTAAAAACAACAAAGATATTTTAGGTGGCAACGTTAAGTGACTCACCCTGTATATATAAGTTATAGCTTTCATATTTTCTATATGAGTGCAAACGAATATTTGATTGAAACTAAATGTGATAAACAGGGGATATTATTTTTTCTTCGTGACATTCACGAATAACTTGTTATTCTTTGACATATAAACATATTTCTTATATCAAAATAGAAATCAGAAATGAATTCCGGTCTTTTTTAAAATCAATTTCTAGTGCGCATGCGTCAGTATTGTAATTACTTACTGCAAATACTAGTCGATTGTGAGTCAAAGTTGTTAAAAGTGCGTGAGTGTGTAAAACATATACATGTATCTATATATTTAATCTTAACTAAGTTTATAGATAAAATTGATGTTCTTTGAAAACATCATATTTTATTAAAATTGTCGTTTAAGTGATTATAAGTGAAATCATAATATTGATAAGTGGATTAATGAAAAGTGATTATAAAAACGATAATATTAAAAATGGATACTGTTTGGAAAAATACCAGTGAAGCTTTAAAAAATTTTGCTGATATTTTAGCATGCAACAAGTGGTAATGTTTCATTAAGAACAACAATTTATATTGCGTATATTTAAAGATTCTAATTCATATAATAAACTTATTAAAATAACATTCATAACAATCTTCTTTCAATACAATGCTGTAACACTTTAATGTTAATTTAAATTATGTACTATTTGTACATTCTATATAACTCTTGTATACCTTTTAATAGAAATATGTATTATTTTTTTTAGCGGAAATGAACCAATTAATGCTGTAACATATACCAATTGTGGTCATTTCTTTTGCAAGAAATGTGTTGAGAATGATATGATATGTATAAAATGTGGTACACCTGTGCAACCCATTGAAATTCATAGTGATCATATGATTAAAAGTCTCATATCTTACTGTAACAATATTGCAAAAATAATAGGGGAGAAGTATGTACAATTAAAAAATGCATTTTATAAAAATATTTAATGTAGTATACAGCTTTTAATTTTATTCTACACATCTGTTGTTCCATTTATAAAATATATTATTAATACATTATTTAAAATTGTAATTATATTTTATTATGATTCTATTAGGAATTTTCAAAGTACAGCTGTAAATGTTCTAAATACTTCTCAAGCACCTTCAACAGAATTAATATTAAATTCTAAAGTACATCGAAAACATATAGTTCCACAAAAAAATATACATAAAAGAAATCAGTATGGTGAAACTGCGTTGCATAGTGCTTGTTTAAAGGTACTTTATTTGTTACTAGTAAATTTCAAAAAATTAGGAGAAGTGAATGAATAAAAATAATTGTTCTCTAATTGAGATATTTATAAACTTTAACAAATAAATGAATCTCTTTTAGAATAAAATAGAACAAGTGAGAATGTTATTAGCTGTTGGCGCAAACCCAAATACAAAAGATAACAATAATTGGACTCCAATAGTGAGTTATTATATTACATATATATTACATTATTACATATACACTGTTTTTTAAATAACTAATTTATTTTTTATTTAACTACTTATTTTAATGATATATTTTTTGTAGCAGGAAGTTGTTTGTAAAGGATATACTGCTTTATGCAAGTTACTTTTAGAATGTGGTGCATCGCCTAATATACCAGGTGCAGAAAATAAAACTGCATTACATGAAGCAGTAAGATACAAAAAATTGGATGAAGTAAAATTGCTTTTGCAATATTCTGCTAAGAAAGATGTATATGATATTCATGGAAAAAAACCTATGTATGTATTGATTCTATGAAAACATATAAATAATGATAAAGTGAATTTATTAAAAAGACATAAAATATATTAATCTTACTTTGATTATTTATTATAGTAAAATATTATTCTGTTTTTATGCTATACATTTTTCCTTTAGAGACTACTGTGATCCACATGAAGATAGAATAAGCAACAATATATGGAACATTTTGAAAGATGAAACTGAAATGAATAACACATCTACAGTTTTGAATTATACTTTGGATCATTCATTTTCTATTCCACAATCACTAAATACATTTGTTATATTTCCATCAAATTTACAAGAAACAAATAAAAAAAGACTGTATCAGATGGCTTTGAAACATAAAATTAAAATTGTAACTTCATTTCGGTATGTTGATGATTTTAATATGTTAGTATATAGCTAACATAATGCACGCTTAAATTGTTTTTACAATAACGAAATTTAACAAATATCGCAAACATCATCACAGAATCATATTTTAGACCATCCGTAACTCATGTTGTAATGGAAGCGAATAATCAAAATATAGTACAATTATCGTATGATGTAATGATGGCACTTTTGCGTGGAAATTGGTTGCTTACTAGTGAATGTAAGGTTTCTTAAGAATTATTATTTTTTACACATTTTATATTTGTGTATAATTTAATTTTCATAGTGTTTTTATGTATAAGGGTTCCAAATAGCTATGGATGTAGATGATATATTAACAATGGATTTCGAACTGTTTGAAATTAGTGGTGCACCAATTAAGGGAATTCCAAAGAAAGCCAGGGAAAATGCACAGAATCAAGTAAAACTAGAATAATTATATAAATTATACATTTAGGTTTGCGTAACATAATAAGTATTATTATTTGTGATTTCAGAATCCAGCTCTTTTCAATCAGTGTAATTTTTATTTTGCTTTAAATCCAAAAAGTACTTATTCTGTAAATGAAATGCAGTTAACAAAAGATGCTTTAGAGAATCTTGTACGTGAAGGTAATGGAACAGTCTTGAAAAGGGAACCACATCCAGAAGATGTAAAAGACCAGAAACAAATTATCCCTTTCCACATTGCCAATAGTGTTACTCATCCTTTATACAAATGTACTTATTATATTATTTATGTACCAGGAAGAGATGAGCCACGTGTAAAATATAATATGCCTCATATAAAGACATTACCGCTTGTATGGCTAATTGAATGCATAGAAAAATTTACATTTGTAGACCCTTCACATTTAGGTTTAATGTAAATAATTATAACTTCAAATTTTATTCTTCCTTAAACTTCTGTTTTTATTTATTGTAACCATATAGTTGCGTATTTTCGTCTTTTGATAATTATACTTCTTTTACAATACGATATTAAACGCGTTATTAAGTAAAAATTGTTATTATTGCGCATTTCAAACAACGCTTGAAACATTATAAGCACATGATCAAATTTTCCAGAGATATTTGCATTTTGCTTTATTTTGTAAAATAGGAAATATTTTGATATTGTGCTATGATTATGGGGGATCAACCGTTGCGTAAAGAACGATAAATTCCAAAGGGAAATATCGTACGGTATCTCGTACATTTACGGGTAAAGTACCGCTAGTCGTGCACATATACATCTATACGTGCACGGTGAGAAAGAGAGAATGAAAGAAAAAAAAGCTGAATGGGAGTGAGAGAGAGGTAAAGAGGAAGAACAGTGCGAAGATGGAAGAG